ACATCACTGACCTAAATAAAGCCTATCCCAAAGACAACTTCCCCCGGTCGAGGATTGACCAGCTTGTCAACACAACAACAGAGCATTAACTCCTGAGCTTCATGGATGCATTCCCAGGCTACAATCAAATCCAAATGCACCCATACGACCAAGAGAAGACCGCCTTCATCACTGATCGAGGATTTACTGCTACAAAGTCCTGCCCTTCGGTCTCTAGAACGCCAACGCTACTTACAAGCAGTTGGTGAACCATGTCTTTAAGGATCAGCTCAGCCTCAACATTGAAGCATATGTGAACGACATGCTGGTGAAGAGCAAGAAGGTCGAGGACCACCTAGTCGACCTCAAGGAAGTCTTCGACACCCTTAGGAAATATCGAATGAAGCTAAACTCGACAAAGTGTGCTTTCGAGGTCGGCTTTGGCAAATTCCGGGGGTTCATGATCACGTAGAGAGGAATTGAAGCCAATTCTGAGAAGATTCAGGCCATCCTCAACATGTAGTCACCCCAGACCTACAAGGAAGTGCAATGCCTCACTAGACGAGTAGCCGCCCTCAACAGATTCATGTCAAAGTCCAAGGACCAATACTTGCCCTTCTTCAAGGCCCTCAAGAAAATCAAATATTTCCAATGGACTGAGGAATGTGAATGGTCCTTCTAAGAGCTGAAGAGGTATCTGAATTCGCTGCCTCTCCTCACAAAGCCGAGCCCTAGGGATGAGCTGCTGCTCTATCTTTCGGCTGGAGACAAGGTGATCAACTTAGTATTGGTATAGGAGGAAGATCGGGTACAAAGGCCGATCTACTACTTACCTCTTTTTTCCAGATGAGTATTATGTCTTCTTAAAATCAAATATCTCAAAAGGTATAAAGATCATTAAAGCTCTAAAGAAATATGAAAGAGCCTCTGGTCAATATCTCTAAGTCAGAAGTTTTCTTAAGTCCTAATATGTACTACCATTTGAAAAAACAAGTCTCATAAGGGCTAAAGGTGTTCATATGGTAACAAACCTTCCAAATATCTTGGGATTCCTTCTCACTTAGGCAATTTCCCAATTAAAAATTCCAAATAACTTTGTGTGAGAGAGTTGAAGATAAAGCTAAGAGTTGAAAGGGTGCTTATTTGTTGGCTGCTGGTAGAGTGGTGATGATTAAGGTTGTCTACAGCTATCCTAACCTACAAAATCTCTTGTATTTTGACGCCTAAAGGCTTATGTGGTGAATTAGTTAAAATTTATAGAAATTTCTTGTGAGGTGGAGATAATCGAAAGAAAAAAAAAAAGTCACTAAGGGTCCATTTGGTTCATAGTCGGAATCAAAACCAAAATCCTTCCGAATCGGAATGGTCCATTTCCATAATCTGTTTGGTTCAGATAGAAATGGGAATGGAAATTAAAATCAGCAAGAATGAGATTTCATTCCCAAGGGAGGAGCAGGGAATGGTCATTCCCTCAAATGGGGGAATGTCATTCCAGCAGGAATGAAAATGGGATTTCGAACCAAACAATTGGAAACGGAATACCCCATTCCGATTCCGATTCCAGACCCATATTCCTACGAACCAAACGCGGCCTAAGTTAGTTGAAAAAGGCCTTATAAAAATAAATTCAATGGATGTTTAGGATCTAAAGAGCCTAAAGCCTTCAATAGAACTCTCCTGGCAAAAAGGGAGGCTATTAGTATTTGAAATTATCCATGGCTGGCAAAGATGCAAAATTTTAAGCTTATGGGTCCTCAAGGTAACCCAAATGATTTGAAATAGGCATACAGATCTCATAAACCCAATTTTAGGTAGGTGGGATATAGGAGAAAAATATTCAATTCCGAGTAGCTGATCAGTTTTGAAAAGAATTTGGACTTTGGATATTCTCCTATTTTTGCTAAGCATTGCTATTGGTAAAAATCTTCTTAAATTTGGTCTATCTACTAATGTGAAGTGTGCCCTCTATGTAATAAAGGGATAGAAACCACTATGCATGCTTTGTTCTTTTGTGACCATGAAAGACCATCTCGGTTTGGTTGCAATTTAGGGCTCATAATGATCCTTTTGAAATTGCTTTTGTTGATTGGTGGAAAGACTGGCTAAACAAAGCTGAAGAAATCCCTAATGTCTACCAAATGGTTGTTTAAAGAGATAGCTATGTTGTTATGGCATATTTGGAAAGCCAAAAATGTTTTCATTTTCAAGACTTAGTTGCGGCCAAATCCTAGGTTTATAAAAGTTAATGTTTATGATGGAAGTTATATAAAGAATGGCATAGGTGGTTATGGTGATGTTATTAGAGATTTCATGGATTCTTTTTTGTTGGATCTTGTGGCCCACGTAACTCTTTTTCTACTTAGTACTGATTTTTTTTTGTAATTAGGGAAGGCTGGCAGTGGCTTGCTAAAGATCTTGATTTGTTAATCTTAATTGTATAAGTTAGTGTTTACAAAACTGGATCAGATTGGACGGCCAGACCAGAAAAATCAAGAATAGGTCATTTAATCAGTTCCATTTTAACCCAAAATTGCTTTGTGGCCAAAAACCATTGATTTGGTTAACAAACTATTGACCCTGGCAGTCAAACAGTTGACTCGGACAATATTTTTGGTCATTTTTTGTTTTTTTTTTTATTTTTATTTTTTGTCAGAATGGATCGTTCGTTTGGACTGAAAGGTTGGACCGTTCGACCTGGGAACCGATTCTTTGTCCGGTCCAATTTTAAAAACCTTGGTATAAGTGACTCAAGTTAAGTAGTTTAATCAATATCTTCTCAATCTTTCGATGCAATTCTTGATTTTGGTCTATTCTACATGATATTTTCAAGCTAATGGATGAGAATATGTCTTTTGGGTCAGTTCATAGAGAGGGCAATATGGTTGCCCATGAACGAATGGTTTCTTGGAAAAGGACCTTTGTTGTTTCTGATGATGGTAGACTTATTCATCTTCCCTTTATGTAATAAAACTGGAGAATGACCCACTACTAAGTGCAAAGGAACTATAGTATCATTTAGTTTGAATTTATTACTTAATTGTAAAAAATAAATTAGAAAATTTAATATCGGTCTTACATCTTTGTAATTCACAATCTACTATGACTTATTTTGTTTGAAAATCACTATTAACTTATGTTGTTTCTAATCTGATTTAAGAGATTAAATGAGATCTTATTTGTAAATAGTAACCCACTTTAATTGGTATTTACTATTTACTGGATAAATTTATTTTGAATTTTTTTTATATATTTTTTTAATAAATAGCCACATTTGTATCACTTCAAAGTGGACTGAATGTATTTGGATAAACCACTTCTAAGGTAGTTATTCTATTTGAAAATAAAATTAACTATTAACTACTTTTGAGATCCTCTTTTTTCAAAAATTATAGTGTCATGTGTCTGAATGGAAGCGACAGTTGCCTGACCACATCCTATATATTAATATATATATATATATATATATATATATATATATATATTTATATATATATATAATAGATTGTATAGACTATATTTAAGCTAACATTTTTCCCTTGTAGAAGCTTATCGTGGGGCACAAATGGAATAAATTTGACTATTGAAAAGAAAAATGAAACAAGCATTTGCACGGTTTGTGTAGGTAGTGGAATGATTTCAACAGAGGAAATTTCTATGATCTGGTATATCTAAACAAAACGGTTACTGAAAATTCCTTTCAGATTGTCTACAAAAAATTCCTTTGAGCTCAATTTGTTAATTGGTTAGAAAATTTGCCAGTCCAAAAAAACAGGATCCAGAGATGGGTTTTGATAAGTGAGAAAATATGTAAAGAGCAAGATGTGGTATTCATCAAAATTCACGGGGTTTTGATTGATCAAAGCTATTCGGATTTATACTTTTCCGGCATCATAGATTTACGATAGAGATCAAATTTGTTCCTATTAAAATGTAGGTACTTTAAGATTTGTATGATGGATGATAAGGCGACCTCATTTTCTTGAAAATTTTGAATGTTGGATCATTTTTAGCAAAAATTCATGCGGATTTTGATTGATCAAGGCTCTTCAGGAATGATACTTTTTCCGGCATCATAGATTTACTCTATTAGAACAGAGCTCAATAAAAAATTGATTCACAAGAAAAGAAATGAAGAAATTGTCATTGAGCATGGAAAAAAAAAAAACTTTTTCTCCTATGAAAAAGTAGGTACTTTAGTTTTGTATGGTGGATGATAATGCCACCGCCACGCTTCATTTTCTTGAAAAGATTTGAATGTTGGTTGAGGTGACTTTAAAACAAAATTCCCTCCATAAACTCGATAAGAATAAGAGGGTACAATAGCCAGCCTATCATCAATGAGTACAATGCAAGGACCCAGCTTTAGCACAATTATATTTTTGGGTTTTGCTCAAAATTTGATGTCCATGTGTAATTGGGAAGATGGCACGAGAAACACAAAAAGTGAAAACAGTTGTATAGGGAGATAGGGGGGAGGCTAAAGACCCAACTTTAGAATTGGCATGGACGTCCACGCACCCCACAGCATATCCCAACCGTGCATTGGAAATATCTTCCTATGATAAGTATGAAAAATGTTCAGTACAATTATATTTTTGGGTTTTGCTCAAAATTTGATATCTAGTGTAATTGGGAATATGACATAAGAAACACAAAAAGTGAAAATAGTTGTATGGGGGAAGATGGCACAATTCTAAAGACCCGATTTTAGAATTGGCATGGACGCCCACACACTCCACAGCATATCCCAACTGTGTATTGGGAATATCTTCCAATGACAAATGAGAAAAATGTTACTAATGCACACTGAGATATGGATGTGGGGTGCTTACGCGTCAATCTGAACTACTACTCCCAACTTTAAGGCAAATTATCGAAAATCAATAAAAGAATCAGTTCCTTTCTTGTGGTTAAAGCATAGTTCCATACTTTTATTTAGAATAAAGGGTCGACATATTCCACCATGCACTATACAAGGTAAGTTAATATCCTTTCGCCGTAAGGAGATCCTATAAATTTTTAGCCGTTGTTTCACTCTGCCGAGGCAAAGCCTTGGACCATCAGCTCATTCACATTCCACCGGCCTCAAATCAAAATGAAGGCCTCAACCTCAGCATCAGGTAGGTAACAGCCACCATTCACTTATATGTGTATATATAATTATGTATATATATATATATATAATTATGTTTTAATTCATTCACTAAACGATGAGGATTTACGGTGATTGGCAAGCCATTTTTTTCCATCACTTATTCTGGCATTGTTGGGTTTTTTTTTTGTGTTAAAAAACGTTTGAAAAAGATATAAATTCCCATTTAGTTTTTTTTTATTTTGCAAGAATCTACTTTGAATAAAAAAGCTGGTGACCAACCAAATAGTAAAAAAAAAAAAGTAATTCTTTAAAAACCCATTTTTAAAAATGGCTTTTTCAGAAGCCCATTTTGGCCAAAAAGCACTCCCAAACACGGCAATAGATGACTTACTATTGTTTACTATCTAACTTGGTATTTTGCATTTTGTTGTCCACACTCCACAATGATTTTAGAAGATGGACTGATTACGGCTGGACCATATGGATCTTCTACTGGAAAACAATGGGAAGATCGTGATGGCATAGATAGAATTGCACAAATCTTCATTTCTTATGGAGAATCTACTATCAAATCTCTACAATTCAATTACCTGAAGAATGGAAACCTTCACTTGTCCGAAAGATATGGCGGATCTGGTGGAGTAAATTTCAAGACGGTGAGTTTTTCTTTTATATTTTTTTAGCAAACATTCTATGAACTTTTGTTATTTACTAGCATTGGTCCCTGCATATTTCTCAATTATGTAGGTTTGTTTTCACACACAAAGGTTAAGGTTAGGACCAATATTAGGGGTGATTGATCACTCTTGGCCCGGGCTGAAAACCCGGCCTGGCCCATAATCTTCAGGACTCAGGCCCAGAATGTGTGCAAGCCCAGCCCAGCCACGTGCACTGGACTGGGCTTGTAATTTAGGTCTCAGGCCCAAATTTTTCAGGTCTCAAGTATGAGAGTTGTCCCCCTAAAAAAGACCTTTTATACATTAAGAAGGCAAGGCATCCATTCCCATTCTTGAGTTGAGCAATATGGGACTTGGGACAAAAATCAATTACAACACTCACTATTGAGTGTTATTCCATATCTCATGGTCTTCAAGAATGTGAATTAAGGTTTTGCCTTCATCTATAAAAGGATTAATAAGCCAACCTAAATCAAGTTGAGGAATTAAACGAAGCTCATTGCCTTTATTCTTGTGCAATATGCCCAAAACCTTGCCAATCCGAACTAGTTTGTGTTTGTACAATGTTTTTCTTTTCACACAATATATATTATTTAATTCTAAATTTTCTAAATAAGTAATTTTTATTAGGCCCAGAAAGGCCATAAATGGGCTTGTAATTTAGGCCCAGGGTGTGGGCTGGCCTGGGCTCGGGCCTAGGTTGAAGCCTTTATCATGGGTGATAAATCCGACCTAGGCCTGGCCCGATCCATGATCACCCCTCATACCTTGTCTACCCCTCCCATGTGATTGCGTAGTGTAGTGACCCCTAGCTATCCGGCCTAGGCTAGCCGGGACCAACATTGGGTAATGACCTTTTTAAATTTGACACTTCATTTTTTTTATCCATCTTAAATTGCAAACCAAACGCATCCCTAATGAAGCGTATGTTGTAGATTGATTTTGATCTTGAGTCGTCGGAGTATATTACTTGGGTCAGCGGACGTCATCATCGATGCTATGGTTTGGTGTCACTCACAATCGGAACCAATAAATCCAAGTATGGACCCTTTGGTGGAAAGTGAATTGGGGATTCCAATTTCTATATTGGAACAGGAAAGAATGATACTTTTGCAGGGTTTCATGGATACCATACCAAAAAGAAGATCTGCTCAATTGGAGTTTATTTTAGACATTTAACCACAGTTAAAGAACAACAAATAGATTTACAAATTTGTGATTGATCATGTCCGGCCAATAAGGAAAGCATGAGGAAACAAAAGATGCATGAGATTGGCTGCATGGAAAGTAAAGTACATTGTAAGTTTAATATACACTACTCTAGTGAAGCAAAGTAAGTTAATTTCTGAATGAAAAACATATAAGCTCACTACGCAGATGCAGGTTCCACTTAAACTCAATAAAGTTCATTGTGATCGATGCTTGCAATAAAACATTTAACTTGAATATCAAACATTTGCTCCTTTGTCCACTCAAAATTAAACTAATCTCATCGGTTTGATCATTTTGGCACTTCATATTCATTCATGATGCTCCGACCACCCAAGTTCAGGAGGCCACCCCACCTCATGGGTCTCAGCGGGCTCCTCCCCCGAATAGAGGATCTACCAACCTAACTAGATTTAGTGACAATTGAGGACTTGGTTAGAGTAGGTCACATGGCCGCCAAGCTGGCATATGGCATTTATCTTCCTATTTATTGAACCAAGCCCTCATAGTACACAAATGAGGCCTTAAATTAAAGAAATACACCATTAGCAAGATCATGGTTTTTGAACCGTCATTGATCCGGATGGTCAGACTGTTCATCCTGGGAATCGTCCAGGCAACCAATTCTATTTTACCCTAAACCCAGTCCCTGGCCAAAAGCCATTGAATCAGTCAATGATCCGTTGTTTCGGACAGTCAAACCATCGACCCGTTGACCCATTCAATAGATTTTGGCCATTACTTTTGTTTTTTTTTTTTTGTCAGAACGGGCTGTCCGTTTGAACTGGACGGTCAAACCATCAACCCAGAAACCGATGGCCAGAACAATTCCATTTCCGGATCGTTTTTAAAAACCATGAACAAGAGCATGGGGACAAGAGCTCTTTGATTCTCCTCTTTATTTAGTCTTCTTCGGTCTTCATATGATTTGATCACCTTCCTTGCAAGTTGCAAGGGGTTTGTGCCATACTAGGTTTTTAAAACTAGACCAGATAGGGAATTGTTCTAGGGACCAGTTCCTAGGTCGAATGGTCCAATCGTCCGGTCCAAACAGATGGCCCGTTCGACCACCTAGGTTAACGGTTCTCTCACCAAAAATCAACAATTTTAGAGTAAAACGGAACTGATCAGATGACCGATTCCCAATTTTTCTAATCCAACCATCCGGTCCTGTCCAATTTTGAAAAAACTGGTGCTATCAATGCACTCTATGATCGGTTGAGGTTGGTGTCTCATCAATACTCTCACTTGATCAAGGAGCACAAAGCTCTAAGGACTAAAGTCAAGGATCTCAAGAGTCAAGTCCAAGGCCAAGAATAAGGGCAAGGTTGTGACTTTGAAGGAAGCACTCTAGTGAACCAAGGAGAGAGCTTTGGACACCTAGCAAAGAGCTTCTAAAGTGAATCTAAGGCGCATAATGAATGTAAATATATACAGCATAAATACATACAAAATAATACAAAACATAAGGTTTTGCATTCTATATATTTACATTTGCACTCCTTCCAAATTCCGCCTAAATGTTGCTAGTGCGTACTGTCAAATTCTATACTATCTCCTCTTTAAATCAGCTACCCCTATTTCATGTCAGTTTGGATTATATTAATGGATTTTCCATATTAACAGTCATCGTATCATATATGTTAATTCTTTTGTTGGCAATCTCTAGGTACGTAGTTGGGATGCTTTTTAATTGGATCATCGAAACATATCTTACCAACAATATTATTTATCCATTTTCAAGATCAGCAAAACGCTAAGATATGCAATTCAACTTTGCATATTGTGAGTGGTCATGCTCTGCACACAAAAACGAATGGAGTAACATTGGTGTCAGTTCAAAATGTCTCGTCTCGTGTCTGCACATGAGATGTATTAAGCAAAAGTATTTGTTGGGATTAAAATCCCATTATTTTTAGGGAGAATGACGGTTCAGTCCAGGGTCAGAATTTGTAGGCCCAAAGTACTGTTGGGGTAGGTGTTAGCTCGAAATTGATACCAATTCATCATGGACAGGCATTGGTGCATAGAGTGTGGATATTTGACATTTTGAATGTTTATAGATCTGCAGTGAAATTCAGAAATCTGCATTAGGCATGTCCGTACTTTTCCTGTAATTTTTATCTTTTAAGATTGAGATAAGCTTTTGCTAGACTAAGCAAACGATTATTGATATTAAATGTTGAAAATATGTAATTTTAAGATATTCAAGCATTCAATTCCCCCTCATTAAATTCAACATTTAAGTTATTAATTTGCATTCATATTCATTGAATCATATATTTAAGTCATTTTTGTTTCTTCTCATCATTAAGTTCAATTAATTAAATCCACACTTAATAAATTAATAATTCCAATAACATAAAAGCTTATATTTTTAAAATCTATCTAGAAAAAATAGTGTTTTCACCTAGTTGGTGGTAAGAAATTAAACCATTTTGGGTTAAATGGGCCAATCCATGTTGCCACGATTAAATAATAAAATGAAAAAAAAATAGAAATTAAAAATTAAGTGGTAGTTAGTGGTTTGGGTCAAATGATATCATAGACAAACAAAAATTAAGTGTAATAAGTAAAAATTATTTATATAATGTACATGAAATATATAGTTTAAGGGAAAATTATAGTCAAAAACAGTCATACATTTAAAATTAGGTTGTATGATGACCCAAAAACCAACAAAACTGTGACAACCAACTCTACATTTCAAATTGTAAAAACCCTCCACCATGTCATCGAAGGCTTATATTGTTGTTGCCAACATGGGACTCTTATCCATGTTGGACACAGCAAAAAGCCTATACCGAAAATAGGTTTTCAGTTTCTCTCCCGCTTCCTATGTCTCTCGTTCTCCCTCCCTTTTCTCTCACTTTCACAGTCATGTCTTGATCTGTCCCTCCCTTTATCTCTCCCACTCTCTCAGCTTTTGTATGTAGCCAAATCAAAAACATCTCTCTCTCTCTCTCTCTCTCTCTCTCTCTCTTCCTCTTGATCAATATCTCCTTCTCCCTCAATCTTTCTCCTACATCCTCTCTCATTCTTTTCTCTTTATTTTTCTTACAAACTTATATAATATTAATAAGACCATATAAAAGAACTAAAGGGACCAACCACTTTTAAAACCAAGAGTTTCTTGTGATTTTTTATCAAATTGATGTAATGATACCAATTTGATAAAAATTGGTATTAATCATCCTTTTTTATTTTTCTTATACACTTATACCATTTGTACAATCAAGCTATTTTCTTATCTGGTTGGTGGGTCAATGATCCAACTTTTCAAAGAAACCCAAAATGTCATAATCGAATAATAAATATTTAAAAAAAATAGAGCACCAAAAATAAAAATGTATAGAATTTTGTCAAGAACATTTGAGAGCATTTCTAATATTACATATTCATCATATTAAATAAAAATAATTGTTAAAATAGAAGCTATTTTTATTTATGATAGAAATGGAATACAAAATGTAATAATAATAATAATAATAATAATAATAATAATAATAATAATAATAATAATAATAATAATAATAATAATAACAATAATAATAATAAGAAGAAGAAGAAGAAGAAGAAGAAGAAGAAGAAGAAGAAGAAGAAAAATACTTTGATTTCCAAGTAGACATTAAATTTTGTAGTACATTTCCATCATTAATAGAATTATTTCTTATATATAATACTTATTTTTGTTCAATATAATGAATGCATAATACTAGATATGTACCCAATATTTTATTTTTTTTTAAATATATAACATTAGATATATATACACCCAAAATTTTCCCTTTTTATTTTTGTGATTCTTTGTATTTTCTATTTTTAAAAAATTTATTATTTGACTATAACATCATTTCATTTCTAGGTAGATTTTAAATTTGGCATTCCATTTTCATCATTAACAAAAATACTTCTTACATTTCATACTTATTTATTTTAATTTTTTATTATTTAATTATGACATTATTTATTAATTCATTTGACCCCAAATGGTTGAATTGCTTGCCCACCACCGGAAGGAAAGAAAATGTTTTTGTTTACAAATTATTTTTCAAAATATTTATTTTTATACTATTAAAATTAATATTGTGGATTTAATTACAAGAATTTAATGATGAGAAAAATATATCTTAAATATGGGATTTAATGAGAGAGAATAGGAAAAAAATTTATTTTTAATTGGTTTTAAATTTTACATTCCATTTCCATCATTAATAAAAGCATTTCTTATTTATCATACTTATTATTGTTTAAGATGTATGTTAAAAATGTCCCCAATTTTTTTTATTTTATCTATTTTTGAATTTCATTATTTAATCTTGGCTCCAAAGTTGTTTCTTATAATACCAACTCCTCCACTCTTACCTCAGTTTCCACGTAACTCCATATGAAACTACGAATTGACCCCTAGTGGATAGCAATGATAATATCATTACATTGATTACATGGAATTCAGAGTAACTAATGGTTTGAAATGATAATAATTACGATTAGTGTTTTTAACCTATAGGTACATGTTGATCACCATGATCGTAGTATCAAAGAAGGTGTTAAACCAACGCCATGAAGGTACCCGTGACGAGTTCAGGGCTCGCACAAACCTACGATGAGTCTTGAGTTTGCACAAGCTTGCGATGAGCTTAAAAGTTATCCAAGATTTGTGATAAGCACGGAAAGCCATCCAAGGCTTGCAATGAGTATAAAACTCCTCCTGGGACCCACGGTGAACAATAGGCATCGACTTGCGATAACATTGCAATTAAGATCTTAACGCGTTGCTACTGGGAAACCCGTAAGGGGATGTAGCCTACACGTGCTATGTGAGAATCCTTAAGAGAAAAGGAACTTTGTTTTTGGAGGATCTTGCTATACACGTGGCAAAACCCCAATGATGCTTCCTTAATAGATGACGCAAATATCCCCTTTCCTAATAGGAAGTGTCTCCTTGTAGCCTTGGGGTCCTCTCTATATAAAGGGGAATAACTCTTCCCCACAAGGAAACAACATCATATAACTTTTGACCTAGGGCTTCTTAGAAGAGGGACTCTCTTCTCTCTCTTCTCTCTCATCTCTTCCCCACATTTTCTCTCTTTTCTGTTGCCTTCTCTGGACCTTCAGAGACTTGACCAACCTCCATCGCCGTACCACCACACCAACAATAGAATCTCTAGTTGCATCTCCAATCTCCGACAAAAAGAATGGCATCAAAATCATCGTTGCTTAGGAATTCTTTATAGGGATTATAATGGTTCCCTTGCTTAGGTCTCTTTTTGTTAGAGCATATCAATTTTGATGATTGATCGTCTTTAACTCCCATTGCTTTCTTAAGATGTTTAATGGTGTTATCTAGAAGTGCGTCGTGTTAAACACTTCGGAACACGAGTTTAAAAATTTATAATTTTTCTGACTCTCAAACAACTACTAACGTAGTAAAGGGATGAGAACGGGCGTGTCCACAGGGAAGCGAGGGAAAAATTAATATACACTCAAATCCGGATAAGAGAATGCAATCAGGAATGACAAAAAATATGAAAATAAAATCTATTATTACTGAAATTAAATGTTTCGAATTTAAACAAGACAATAAATAAAAATCAGAATATAATAAAGTATGGGAATCAACAAAAGAAATAAAAGAAATAAATAAAAAAATGATCCAGAATCTAGATCTGGTGGCGGTAGCTACAGATCGGCCAGACAGCTTGCAGAAACCCATCTTGACAAGAACTGGGCATCCGTCCTTTCTACAACCCTTGAACCCCTCGAGATCCCTTAGCCTTGAATCGAACGAATTCATATCTACAAAACAAAGAAACGAACAAGAATTAAATCTAAAAGATTGCAGAAATAAAAATAACAAAAATGAAAATAAAGAAAAGAAAAGAATGGTTAATCAGATCTAGTGGCGGTAGTTGCAGATTGGTTCAACAGCTTGCAGGAACCCCTCCTAACAAGAATTGGGCGTCCTCCCCTTCTACAACCCTTGAACTCCTCAAGAAACCTTAGCCTTGTTAACTGGGTGAATTGACCAACCCCTTCTCCAGGGCCCCTGGGGTCCTTTTTATAGAGAATGGTGGATATAACAAGAATTAGAGAGAAAGAGGGGGGTGGAAGTTGGATTTTAGCAAAAATATGGGTGCCCTAGAGCTTAGAATGAAGGGTTAGGATGGTTCTAGGGTGATCCTAAGGCTGAAAAGAAAAGAAGAAAGCACCCAATTTTATGTAAGACTGAAATTTAATGGCTAAAGGCTGAATGGTGAATATTAGAAGTTAGATGGCTCCTAGGGTTAGAATGCTAAAAAGATAGTGCCTTAGAATGGATGGTGGAGATTAAAAGGGATGGAAGGTGAGGATTTAGCAGTTAGGGGTGGCTAGGGTTTGTTAAGAGTGAAAAGAATGGTTTAAAAGGCGCCCTAGGGTTAGCTAAGGCGTGGAGAGCATGCTAATACAGTAGGATGAGCGCCAAATTGGGTTTAGCAGCTAGGAGGTGCCCTCCTGCTTTCAATTTTTTACAAAAACACCCTCTCTCAGTTGGACTTCACACCACCTTCCCAAAATCTGCATTTTAGCCATGAAAACTTCCCAATTTTCCCCACAAGTTGCACAAAGACCCTCAGAGGCCATAATATTAAAACTAACTGCGAAAAGGACACAATTAAACTTTTCTAAGGCTGAAAATATCCCTGAATTGATGCCCTTAAGGCATCAAAATGAAAGGTTATCATTTACTAGTTTTATTTTGTCAGTAGCGATGACCTAATCTAAACAAGCTGATTCAGACGAATCTCGCATACTTCACCTTGCCTTGCCCCTTTATTAATTTACCATACTTTATAGAATTACAAAGCCATGCGTCTTCGCGAGTAGTTTAAGACAGCTACATGTTTAGAAGTCGTCTCACAACATTGCCTTGATTGGGGATGGTTGATGTGTGATTGTAGTGTAAAGAGTACAGCAAGATGGTTTACCTCGATGCAGATATTCAAATGTTCAATAATATAATATAGATCATTTCAATACCCTTCTAGATACTTGAGATGTGCTCATCACCTCCCTTGTACTTCAATGATGAGATATTCATTTTTGTGCCTTATAGTTTAACCTATGAAATTCTTTAAATTTTGTAGATTATACTACCAACACCTTTCGTCAAGCAAGTGAGTTAGTTGGTTACTTTTGAACAAACTAATATTCTAAAAACCTAATATATATATATATATATATATATATATATATAAGTTTATCCATCAAGAGATTGTTAACGTAATTCTTTTCCATGTTACAAGGATCCAAGGCATGGTGGTATGCCAACATAGATAGAGAGGATATTAATAATATTATACTTTATGTATCATGCATGAAATTTGTGCCCTTATGCTAGTTAAACAAGAAATGTGTAATAAATGATTATTATTGGATAAAAATATAAAAGGCAAATGCTAGTGTGTTCCTAAACTCAATTAGTTGGCATGCTTCCCACTTTTTTACCTTAACTCCCATGAAGTAAGATGTTAAGGTTTACCAATTGGTGGGCAGATTAGTTGTTATAGTCACTGGCTTGTTTCGGTAGACTGAGAAACACTTTTCTCAATGATAGGAATTTAAAGATGTGATATCTAGCCATTTTGATGATGATATGAGGAGTAATTATATGTTTTTAAATTATTTATATTTTTTCCATGTTTGCTAGAGAAGGGATGAAACACTGTCGAGGTTTACCTTCACTTTCCAAGTAATTACAAGGTTTATCCCATCACAAAGTCATATTATCATCCCCTAGCATAGGTTTGGGAATACTAGAGCTACTAGTAGACCAAACTTGTTTGGCAATTGCACGCTTTAAAAATCAATGGCTAGTATATTCTTGTTCCACACAAAACAGGCGGTCACTATGTACATCCATTCTTCTAAATCTAATGGTTCATTTGGTTGCCGATAAAGAATGAGATGAGAAAATGAATATATTTTGTCCCCTTTTTGTATCAAATGTTTATTTCCCGAGAAGTAGTATAATCAAAATTCAATTTCCTGTGTTTGTTTTCTAAAAAATTTAACAAGAAACATATTAAACCAAGTTTTTCATCTTTTATCACATTCTTCAATGGCATTGCATGGTCGACCACATGAATGTGTAAATTTGTCATGTGGCAACAATGAGGTGCATATAAGATATAGCAATCACATTCCAAATCGGTGAAGTGTAAAAGAAAAAAACAAAAAAAAAGGGTAGTGAAAGAAAATATTAGATCTGAGATCACTTGTTACCTGAAGCCGAAATCAAATGCTTTGTTGTTTGTGATTACCTGAAATAACAAAAAACAACACAAAATCTCAGACCTAGTTCAACCGAAACAAAAAAAAAAAGTTTGAATAAAAAGATATATTACCGTGCTGAAGAACAAAGTCCAGATGTGGAACAACCATATTCCAAAATCCAAATCTAGAGATCGTGTGAATAAACTCAACTGACTATTCGGTTAGAAGCTAGATATGGTTCAATCATGCCAAGTCTAAGCCTACCTTCGCCGAGAAGACCTATGGTGAGGTATGGATGACCAATGACGGATGGAAATGGTAGTAAGATTTTGATGGCCACTCATCAAATGGAACAAGAGAAAAACGGTATTAAAAATAATGAGAATGAAGAGATAGTGCCCTAACTACACTTACCATCTGATAGGAATGCCGGAGATGTGATCGTTGGATGAGAAGAAGGGAGGCGATGATGCCCGTGAGATGGTTCTTGACAAAATTTGCTCGCCTTTTTCCTTTCTCAGCGGGGTCTCACCAAATTAGTGCAACCCCGCTTACTGATTTTTGGGAACCCGCATCCTTGGTGTTTCCTTTCCTTTCTCGTATTTTCATTTGAAACAAACACACACAAAAAAAAGAATATTCTTCAAATTTGCTTCATTTCCCATCCGTTTCTCGGAAACCAAACACACCATATGGAAAGAACCATCGCTAATAAAAAAGTACTAGGTCTTGGGGATAGTTTAGCTCCAAAATCTAGCCTATCATCTTGGTGTGTAATTACCCTCATTATAGTTGTTAGCTATTAAAGACCAATTCGTTGTTTGAATAAAAGGAGGCGGAAAATTATTTATTAGTGACCAACTTTCTTGTGTTTAATTTTCGGTAAGTTGTGGGTCCTATATATGGTAAAGTTGTTTTTTTATTGGGTATTACTTATCAATTCATCTAAGCGCCAACTTATTATATAATTTGGGTATTAGTGACCAATTCTTAGATGATTAAAACTTTTTCACTTAAAGTTTACATAATGGGACAAATTTATCCATTTTAGTAATGACTTTTTATGGATAAAAAAATTATTATATAATTTACTTGAAAATCAAAAGAACAGAATATATAAAATTACTTGGATAAAATTTTCCTAAACGACTTAAAGCGCCAACTTGGTGCCTCATAGATGTTTTCATTGAAATGTTGTTTGGTTAAATAGTTTATCAAATAAATATTTGTCTTGATTTAATGTTTTGGAAGATGAATGCTGTACGAAAACATTTATTAAAAAACAGAAAGAGAACCAAACAGCCGCTTAGGGTTGGCAGCATTAAGTAGAATAGATCAAACACGTGTAGTCTTTCTGTTCTGACACGTACACGTTCTAGATATTATTCCAAATGTTTACGTGTACCAAATCATGGCGAGTCGAGTTTGGAATCGTTTTTTTTTTGGGAAGAGAGTTCGAATCGCGAGTTCTTCGTTTACTTACGGGCTTACGGCTTCTATATTCTTTCACAGTTTTTTTTCTCGTATTTTTGGCTATATTCTTTCCGGTCCTAGATTTGCTTGTGACTTTGCAAGAAGAAGAAAGGCAGAAAAATGGCGGAGTCTTCCTCGTCTTCCATGCAGTCCGACGACGAGAGAGAAGAAATGTTGGACCGAATGCTTACTCGTTTAGCTTTTGCCGATGATTCCAAGCTCGAAAGCCTGCTCTCCAAGCTTCTTCCTTACTGTATTTCTTCCCTTTCTTCTCAGTCTGCTGCCGTGAGGAAGAAGGTAAGCTTTTGAATCTCTATTTCTCTCTGCCCTTATAAATTTGAGATATTGTGAATGGTTGTCTAGATTTGTATATAAGCCTGACATTTTTTTTTTCCAAATATTTGTCTGACTATAGATTAATGGTTAGGTTTCTAAGATTTGGGCTTGTTCAATTGTACGGGCACAGTGAGCAGAATGCGCACTTATGCTTAGAATGTAACTTGGGTAGTTTCCAGTTTACTTCTTGATTAAATGATTATACTCGATATATCTTGTAGAACACCCCAAGGAAAAAATCCTTCTGATCAGAAGTTTGGATTAATAACAATGAGGGATAAACCTCATATACAAAATGTCTTGATGGAAAAGGAATTGTTGCTGAATGATACCTTACAAGTAGATACAGTAGAAGGAAAGAAAGATAAATGGATTTTACGGGCCGTTTGGCTCGTGGGAATAGGGGTCTGGAATCGGAATCGGAATGTGATTCCCCTTCCTAATTTGAGCATCTTCAAGAACTTCACTGCTATCGAGTTGCGCATTTGTAGTTTACTAGTTAGCTTGCAGGAGAAGAATATGGGAGAGGAGAGGAAGTTCAAGCTGGCGGGGAAATGGAGACTGGATTTGTCCATTGAAGCAAAATCTTTCCTCTTTGAGCAGGGAAGGACAAAGGGGAAGGCTCTATTGAAAATCAGAGAAGGGAGCAGGGCGTCGATTCTCCTACCAGAGGAGGCC